GTCTCAGCCTCCCAAATGCTGGGGGTACAAGTGTGTGCCACCACTTCCAGCCTCATTTTTGTAGTAGTTATTATTATTATTATTTTTTTTTTGGCGGAACCGGGGATTGAACTCAGATCCTTGCATTTACCAGTCAAGCGCTTATCCTACTGAGCCATCTCCCCGGCCCTGTAGTAGTTGATATTTATTGATAAGTTGACTTTACAAAAATTTGATAACTTGAATGAAATATTATAAAAAGCAGTATCAGTCTTTTTATTTAAAAAGTAATTGGGGCCGGAGAGATGGCTCAGTGGAATAAGTGCTTCCCTGGCAAGCACAAGAGCCTGAGTTCAATCCCCGGTTCCGGAAAAAAAAAAAAAAAAGTAATTAGTGAAATTCAGAAATCTCAGAACCAGTGATTTTTTTTTTCCATTGAGAGATGAATCATTTTACCTGTATAGACAAGCTAGCTATTAGAGGGTGGTCGGGCTTTGCTACTCTTAGGATTTCAGGGTGTCTTCAAGCTGAAATCTCCATGTACTTAGTATAAAAAGGCCTCAGATCAGATACCTATGTAAGGAAAGTGCTATTCACCCAGTAAACCCAAAAACAAATGGATAATGCTGGCCATAATTTGCCTTTTTGACATTTCCTTGGGAATTTACAAAAACCTCCCTTTCCCCCCTCGCCCAGTAAAACCATTTAAATGTGTGTTAAACAACTACAGAATACTAAATAGAATGGCCAGAACCACAAAAAAAAAAAAAAAAAAAAAAACCCAAAACAGTGATTTTTCTATAGCTAATCTGATCCCTCACTCAGTGTCTGACAGTTATAGTTGCTAGTTGTTAAGCACTATTCTGAATGTTTTGCAAATATTTTCTGATTGAAGTCTTCATAGTGGGCCAGTGAACTAGCTCAGTGGACTAAGGCCTGGTTTGGCAAGTGCAGGGACCAGGTCTCTATTGCCATGGTCTCTATTGCTGTGGTCTCTATTGCCGTGCCGGCCCCGCCCCCACCCATGGGGTATGCTGAGCCAGCTGCTGAGTCTGGGTGTGGTGGAGCACGCTGTAATCCCAGCACTGGAGAATCTAAAACAGGAGGATCACTACAAGTCCGAGTTGTGTTGTGAGATGTGCCAGATACGTAAAATGAAAAAATAATAAAGTCTTCATAGTAGTACTGTTGATATAGGTACTATTATTATTCCCATTTCACAGGAAAGGAAATGGGAGTCGCAAAAAAGTATGTTACCTAAAGTTAAATTGGTGTAACTAGTAAAGCTCTAATTTGAGCCTAAGTAGTTAGCTGTGTTCTTAACTCTTATATTCAGCAGTCACTCTGCAATCATGTTTTATAAATAATTTTTTGGGGGCTGGGGAGATAGCTCAGTGGAATAAGCACTTGCCTGGCAAGCTCAAGGACCTGAGTTCAATCCCCGGTTCCGCAAAAATAATTAATTAATTTCTTTGTTTGGTTTTGGGGGGGTGGTACTAAACATCAAAACCAGGGACTCCAAAGTCTCCTTTGAGATTTAAGGCAAATTCTTACCTGTGACCCCCTGTACAACTGAAATGAAAGTTAAACTTCTGATATTCAGTGGCTCAAGACATACACTTCCATTCCAAAGTGTCTATTACAGATAGGAAGATACAAAGGAATGGGGCCAGAACAAGTCCAAAGGCCAGCAAGGCAAACATTAAGTCCTGTAGTTTCATGTGGAACATCCAAGGCAATCTGTGGTAAGATTTGAACTCCAAAGCTCTTGGATGGCTCTGACTCTTGAGCACCTTTGGTGATTGTAGCTCTCATGGTTTATCTCTTGGGTCTGCTCTCAGGTGATCTGTGTTCCTGGCTTCTAAACTTCTAGGGTATCCACTGCACTTTCAGTTAACACAGCTTCACACACTGCCCTCTCAGGCATGCTACCTGGCCTTCCAGGCCTTCAGAAATTGGGGTGGAACCCTTGCTGACACCGCAGCTCTTGCATTTTGCAAGCACTTAAACTAATGCCATATGGATGATGTCAAGGACTGCTGCCAGCTGAAGCAGTAGCCAGGCTCGCTCTTGGCTTGTAGGGGTTAAGTGCCTGGATTGCTGGGCAGTCCAATTCCAAGGAACAAAATTCTCTATGCTGCCACCACAGTGGATTCATGTGCACTGTAGTTGTCTTCTCAGAACAGTCTTTCACTTTTGCAATTTTGAGACTGCGAAGGGTGGAGTCTTGCTGCTGCTTGTGATACCCTCAGGCCATCTTTTCTAGTCTGTTCCTGTTCAGAGGTTGAGATCTTTGCTTTATCTTTGCAGTCTACAGCTTTACTGGAGCTTTCTTTCTGGCCAGACTCGTTTTAAATCATTCTGCTGTGCTCTTTGCTCTTAATTCTCAACATAGATTTAGCTAAAAGCTTTTAAGAGTAGCTGTGCCAGTACCTAAACGTTCCACTGTCTTGAAATTTCTTCTACAAGGTTAATTAGTCTTTTGCCCTTAATCTCAGTCTTGAGCAAAGTGCAAACTTTCTGCAAGCCATAACACACATCATCTGGAGATCAACAGCCAGTGTAATCCTTTTAGTAGAAACCTCGAGTCTGGTCTTTACTGGTGTGCTAGTCTTCTGAGTTCTGACCAGCATCTCCCATTCAGAACAGCCTAAGGTGTTCCTGTTTTTTTTAAAAAAATATTATTTAATGTCTTTTAGTACAGGGTCTTACAGGGTCTCACTATACAGAAAGGACTCGTAGTGATCCTTCTGTTTACAGCTTTTCAAGCACTGGGATTACAGGCGCGCCCACCACCCCCAGTCTCAATCACTGTCTCAGCGTACCCCAGAGGATGGGGCCAGCATGGCACACCAGGGATTGAACTCCGGTCACAGGCACTGTATTCCAGTGAGCTATCTGGCCAGCCCTCCACTTTTGTTCAGTTGAAATTTTGATCTTTCTTTTTTTATTTTTATTTTTCGGTAGTGATACAGGGGTTTGAACTAACCCAGGATTTTACAGTGGGCTACATTCCCAAACCTTTAAAAAATTCTTTAACTATTATTTCAAATACTGGGCATTGAACACAAGGCCTTTGCACTGAACTACATCCCCAAACTTTTTTTTTTTTTTTTTCTTTTTTTGAGACAGTGTTTTCCTAAGACATCAGGTCAGCCAGGCTTGGCTTCAACTTGAGTTCCTCCTTGGCTCAGCCTCCAGGAGTGCTGGAACTATAAACATGCAGTACCACACCTGGTGAAGTTTTGAATCTTAAGTGTAAGATACGTATTTTTTGTTTGTGTGTGGTGCTATGGTTTGAACCAAAGGTCTCACGCATGATAGAAAAGTACTTTTTCTCTGAGCAACATGTCTGCTTTTCCTGTTAAGTAAAATGTTCATTTTGGTTCATTATTCTTTCTGAAGAGGGTTTGTTGTATGTTTTGTCCCTTTGTCCTTTAATTTGGACTGTAGGGGCCGGGGAGACAGCTCAGTGGAATAAGCTCTTCCTTGGCAAGCGCAAGGGCCTGAGTTCAATCCCCAGTTCCGCAAAAAAAAAAAATTCTGACTGTAAACCTGTAATTCTTCCTCCTGTTGTCTGTGTGGTTGGTAAACATACCTTTTATATCTTTAGTCAAGTGACTGATTTAAAAATCATCTACAGGGACTCGGAGTATAGCACAGTGGTAGAGCCTACCAAGAGCAAGAACCTGGGTTCCATCCCTAACACTAACAGCAATAAAAACAACTTCTGTGGAACTTGATGGCATGTTGTTAGATTTTACTTACTTTTTTTGGTACCAGGAATTGAGCTCTGAACCTTAGGATTGCCAGGTAGGCACTTGTGCCACTGAGCTATTTCCCTAGCCCTAAATACTTATATTTTGATTAAGATTCCATAATCATTTCATTGTTGGCAGTAATCTAACTAGCACATCTAATTTTCCAGTGGTCTTACCTATATGCATGTATATGGTAGATTGGGATGACAGTTTGTTTCCCATTGCTACATTAAACTACCTGAGCCTGGGTACTTTATAAAGAAAAGAGGCGCTTTTAGCTCACAACTTTTTTTTTGTTTGGTACTGGGAATCAAACTCAGGACCTCGTACTTGCCAGGCAGGCAGGCACTTATGCCGCTGAGCTCACAACTTTGGAGAATAAAGTCCCAATAGCACAGTGCAGATTCTAGTGATAGCCTCATAGTAGATGAAATCATGGTGCAGCAAATTTGAGGAAGGATCACACGGAAAGACAGCCAGAGTGCAGGGACAGGCCAGTCCTGCTCTTTTGTAAGAACCACCCTTTGAAGAATGAACTCACTCTGAGAAATAAGTATTAATTCTTTTCAGGGGCTGTGCCCCCTAAGACCTAAACATTTTCCATTAGGTTTCACTTTTTTTTTTTTTTTTTTTTGGGGGGCGGTGTCTTTTTGAGATGGTTTCACTGTGCAGCTCAGGCTGGCCTTGAGCTCACTTTTTAGCCCAGGCTGGTCTTTAAATCACACTGATCCTCCTCGCCGAGCCTCCCAAGCGCTGCAGTTATAGGTGTGCACCACCAGCCCTGGCCAAGGTTTCACCTTTTGAAGGTTCTATCACCTCTCAACAACATTCATTCTCACACTGGGGACCAAACTTACAACACTTAAACCTCTGGGGGTATATTCATAACTGCATCTATAACTTAGCAAAGTGGTAGGAAGAACCTACTTATAGATCATTGGATTTTCTTGAAAGTTCTTTTTTTTTATTCATACACTAACTTTTTCACACTTATTCCTAAATAGCTAAGGATACAAGATAATAAATAGAAATACAGATAAAATGTGATATTTACTTTTAAGTCTGTTTTGGAAAAGTCCTCTGTCGTATAGACTACTATTAGAGGAAAAGTGGATCATTTAAATCTAAAGTCTTATTAGGATTAAGAGAAATCATTTGGGATTGAATTTTGTTTACTTGTTTTTTCTTCTGTTATCTCTTTTATGCATTTGGATTCATTCTGTTAACTAAGGAAAAGTTTTGATTTTTTTTTTTTCTCAGCTTGCTGAACTAAAGCAAGAATGTCTTGCACGTGGTTTAGAGACCAAAGGAATAAAACAAGATCTCATCAACAGGCTCCAGGCATATCTTGAAGAGCATGGTGAGTACTCTGTAAAGTCAGGATCATGTGAAGCCGGGTGCAGTGGCAACGCCTGTAATCTCAACACCCAGGAGACCGAGGCAGGAGGATTGCCACAGGTTTGAGGCTAGCCTGGGCTACATATTGAGTCTCAGAAAAAGAAAAAATTGTGAGGTAATTAATTTTTAGTCTTACCCAGTTAGAAGATGTCCTCTGAGAAGCCTTTTTAAAATTGTTTTAAAATTTTTGGGTCGGGGGAACAGCCTGGCAAGTGCAAGGACCTGAGTTCAATCCCTGGTACCAAAAAAAAAAAAGGATAAAAAATTTTAATGAAAAGACCACAAAATTTCAAAACAAGCTAATAGAGTGACATGGTTAGTTAATATATTACACACTATTATCTTTAAATTACTTACTCAAGGGGCCAGGGAAATAGTTCAGTAGAATAAGGGCCTGAGTTCAATCCCCGGTTCTGCAAAAAAAAAAAAAAAAAAAAAAAAAAAAAACTCACTGAAAGAAAAATTAAGGAAACCTTTCACAATGGCATGAAAAAAAAAAAAAAAAAAAAAAAAATTCCTCAAGAGTACAGGATGCAGGCATGTAGTTGTCCAAGAAACATTAGCATAAATCTTTCCATTCAGTGAGCTAAGTATATATATTTTGTTCTTAATCTCTTCTCTCCTGATGTTTCGCTTTCCTTTTGAATAGTTTCTTCCCATTTTACACTATCGGTTGTACATTTTATTTTTACATTAGGGTGACAATACAATGTTTACATGAGTCTGGTTTATCTCACTTATGCTTATAATCTCAAGTTGCATCCATTTACCTACAAGTCTCCAGTTTATCTATCTTTCTGGTTGAGTACTAGTCCATTGTATTAAATTTTTATTTATTTATTATGTATTTGGTACAGGGTCTCACTATGCAGCCAGATCATAGTGATCCTCCTGTTTTCAGCCTCCCCAGCACTGGGATTACGGTGTATACCACCATGCCTGGACTTTGTCGCTGGTTCAGCATACCCCAGGGCAGGGCCAGTGCGACATGGTGCTTGGGATCGAACCCCAGTCCCTGAGCTTGCTTAAGCAGGCACTTAGTCCTCTGAGCTATCTCACTGGCCCTGTATTAACATTTTTTAGAAGCTTTTTAGATCCTTATTGATACCGGTTTTTGATTAGCAACATCAAGGAGGGCTGGAGATGTGGCTCAGTGGTGGAACTCTTACCTTACATATACAAAACCCTGGATTTGATCTCTAGCATCACAAAAAAAAAAAAAAAAAAAAAAAAAGAAAGAAAGAAAGAAAGAAAGAAAGAAAGGAAGGAAGGAAGGAAGGAAGGGCGGGCCAGGGAGATGGCTCAGTAGAATAAGCACTTGCCTGGCAAGTGCAAGGGTCTGAGTTATTCTCCGGTTCAACCAAAAAAATAAATAAATAAAAACATATACACATATATAGCAACATCAAGGAAACTCTTAGTTATCCAAAGTAGTGATTATAATACAGAAAAATATAGTAAAACCTTAGTTTGCAAGCATAATTCATTCCAGAAACATGTTTGTAATCCAAAGTACTTGACAGTATTTCAAAGCAAATTTCCCCATAAGAAATAATAGAAACTCACATAATTTGTTCCACAACCTAAAAATATTCATACAAAAATGATTATACTACTATAATGTAATACAAAATAATAAAACACAAAATATAAACAAAGATAAATGATACTGTTCTTTGAAAACCTTAAGTGAGGAGGCCAAGGAGGTAGAATAAGCACCTGGCAAGCACAAAGGCCTGAATTCAGTCGCTGGTTCCGCCAAAAAAGAGAAAACCATAAGTGAGTGTTATGAAGGAGATAGGAGAGAGGAGAGTTGTGTAGGTTGACTTTCACTGCCACTAATGAAATTACTGGTGACTGTTGGCTCTGTGATTTTTTGGGGGGTGGTGGGGGGGATTGTTTGTTGTTATTTTTTTGGAGATAGGGTTCCACTATGTAGTCCAGGCTGGCCTCAAACTTGTGTCAATCCTCGTGTCTCAGCCCCCTGAGTGCTGAGATTACAGATGTGTGCCATCACACCTGGCCTGTTTGCTTGTTTGTTTTGTAGAACACTCTTGAAACAAGTTACTTGCAGTGTATACAGGTTTTTTTGTACTTTTTTAAAAAGGCACAGTTTTAACTCAACTTGTGTGTGTATATGTTTTTTGTTTCGTTTTGTTTTAAAGAAAGGGTCTTAACCATGTTCCCCAGGCTGGTCTTGAATATTTCAGTGTATTACTTAAAACTCAGCATGGTAATACAAATAACATTAGGCTGAGAATTGGAAGGTTTAAGTTTTATACTTCGTTTTGGTTCTTTTTATGATCCTGAAGATCGAACCCAGGGTTTTATGCATGCCAGGCAAGTATTGTGCCACTGAGCTACATCCCCAGCCCCAAAGATTTAAGTTTTAATTCTTTTTGTGCTAGAAATGTATTTTAGGACAGTAACTGTTGACATGACTGTCTGTTCCTATAGCATGAGACCAATGTCTACAGCCTTGAAATCCATAAGCTGTAATGTTTGCTTCCTCCTAGGTGTGGCATCTTTAGTTCTGTCTCCCTCCCACCCCCCTTTGTGGTACCAGAGATTGAACTTGGGACCTTTTGCTTGCCAGGCAGGCGCTTATGCCACTGAGCTATATCCCCAGCCCTTTAGTTCTGCCTTTTAAAAAATAAAACAAACTGATAATCATAGTAACTTGCCTGAAATTTCAGATGCTTGGTAAGCTGAGGCAAGAGGATTGTAAATATAAAGCCAGCCTGAGTAATTCAATAGATTGTGTCTCAAAAATAGTAAAAGGGTGAAGCTAGCTAGCTATAGCTTAGTGATAAAGTGCTTGCTTTTTACGGCCTATAAGTTTAATCCCTAGTACCAAGAAAGAAAGAAAAAATAAAAACCCCAGCTTCATTAAGGCATATTGTCATCATCCCACATTATATAAATCCCTTCTCTAATTTTTATTTATCCCCTTTTACTGCCATTACTCCCAACCCACTTAAGTATCTATTCAAATTGTGAGGTTGTTTTTGTTTTCAGCTACTTTTAAATTTTTTTTATTTTGAGACAAAATCTTGTTAAATTGTCTAGATGAAGCTCAGACTTTTCAGCCTCTGAGAGGGCTGGGATTACAGGCATGTCCACTATGTTCAGCTCTAATTTTACATATAGTTTTTGTTTTAATTCCTATAAGTCATATAGTGTTTGGTATAGTATTTTGGTTTATATAATTGGAAATTAGGTCATAGCCTTATTTGTCTTTTTCACTAAGTTATGTGGGTTTTTAAAAAAGTGTCTTATGTGAAATGAGATTATATAGTAATTAGCCTATTACACGTCTCTGTTTACACAGTATGATTGAAATATGCAGTATGTAAAATTTGAAAACCATTTTATATTAAAAGTCACACTGGGCTGGTGAGATGGCTCAGTGGTCTAAAGCACCTACTTAGAACAAGCTCAGCAAAACACCGGGACTGCAGTTCAATCCCCCAGCACCACATGCCAGCCAGCCCCGCCCCCTGGTGGGCTGAGCTGGCCACACACACACACACACACACACACACACACACACACACACAAAAAAAAAAATTAAAAAAAACACTGCCACTAGTCCCCCTCAGACTACCCCCCAAATGCATGTATCCCATTTTTCTTGCCACTTTTTTTTTCTTGCCACTTTTCTGAAGCAGTTCTGAAAGACATCTTTTGTGAAGGTCTCAGTGTGATACCAAATGTGATGAATGCTGTTGCTGCATGCCATGCATTGGAAAGGCAGGCTGGTACAAACATTATAGTGTGTTCATTACCTTACTTACCACTTACGTACGACTTCTGGCTCTTTCCCAAAGTCTAAATGACTGCCGAAGGTGAGCTTTTTTTTGCCAGCTCAGCCTGCCCTGGGGATGGGGCTGGTGTGGCATGGTGGTGGTGATGGGGGGGAATCATCCGTGATCCCTGTGCTTGCCTAAGCAGGGCCTTTAGACTGCTGAGCTATCTCACTGGCCCCAAGGTCAGCATTTTTAATCCATTCTAGACATTGAGGCTATCATGACAGTGCAGCAAAAGGCATGAAAGAGGACTTCTAGAACTGCTTCAGGAACTGCCAAGAATGATGGGATAAATGTGTTCAAAGTGAGGGGAATATTTTGGGGGGGATAATTGCAGTGTGTCTTTTATTGTAATAAATTTTAAAACATTCACTGTATTTTCTAATCATGTAAAGTACGAATACAATAATACCTCAGTGCATGAATTCTTCTGTTTACAAGCAAGTTGAATTTACAAACAGGTTTTTGTCAGAATTTTGCTTCTGTCCACAAAATCCATATTGGGAAACAAACATGACCATGGCCATCTTCCCCACACAAACACCATCTTCACTAAAATTGTACAAGAAATTAAGTTCATAAACCGAGGTATCGCTGTATGGCCACCACATTTTATAATTCATCCAATGGCATATACCTGTGTTATCTCCATGGCTTAGCTTCTATAAATACTATTTATTTTAGCAGTAATAATAATAATATATATTAACTTTATGTATGTAGTAGTATAAGGTATAGTAATAATGTACTAGTACATATATATGGCATACGATTAGTCTTTAGACTATATACTAATCTACTGTTAATACATAACATTATTCTGAATTACTTTTTTTTTTTTTTTTTTGCGGAACCGGGGATTGAACTCAGATCCTTGCGTTTGCCAGTCAAGCACTTATCCTACTGAGCCATCTCCCTGGCCCCCTGAATTACTTTTATTCCCCGCGTTCCTTTGTCTTTTTGTGATATCGGGGATTGAAATATTCAGAACCTTGTGCTTGCCAGGCAGGCGCTTATTCTACTGAGCTATCGCCTCAGCCTCCCTTATGTTCTTGTGAGAGTCTTTCTGGGTATACACCCTGGAATGGGATTGGTAATTACTGTATATTAATGATTGTATATGCTCTTAATATGATTGGACACTGCCAAACTATTTCCCAAAATATTTATTTATTTGTTGAGGCAGGGTCTCTATGTAGTGCAGGCTGGTTTTGAACTCACTGTGTGGCTCAGGCTGGCTTTGAACTCAGTGCTTCTTCTGCCTCAGCCCCCTGTGTGCTGGGCTTGCAGGTGTGTGCCACCACACTTGGCTCAGAATTTCCTCTTAAATCTTTACACCTGTTGTCAGTGCATCAGGGTTCTCAACAAACCTGAATTTGGCATTACCCTATAAAGTGGACTATGTTTGCTAATATGTTATGTTAACTTACTTTTCTCCCTGAAAATTGTTTAAATGTTTTTGGTATTCATGGTGGTTTGCCCAGTTTTCTTTTGGTTCCCATCATTCGCTTGTCAGTATGTGGGGCTTTTTTTTTTTAAGTTTTGAGACAGGGTCTCACTGTGTAGTTCAGGCTGGACTTTAACTTTCAGCAGTTCTTCTGTCTCAGCCTCTTGAGTGCTGAGATTACAGGTGTGTGCCCCGTGCCTGTGACTTATTTTTTAAATAAATTTTTCTCCATTACTAAATCTCCAAGATATTTTTTTTTGTAATTAGCTTTTTAAATTAATTTTGTAATGTGACCTGATCACATTTAGTTTTTCAGTCCAAATGGAATTTATCTTTGTACTAAAGTTAGATAGAGATCTGGTTTTGTCTTCTCCAAATGTAGTGAGTTTGCTGTTCTTCCTTCATTATTGATTTTTATTTTGGGAGAGCAGGTTGATTATAATTTTGGCTTTAGCACAGTGGATCAATATGGTTTTATAGCAAGAGTTGACCTGAATATTTTAATATTCTTTAGCCGAAGAGGAGGCAAATGAAGAAGATGTACTGGGAGATGAAACAGAGGTGAGTTGGACAGAGTAACGTTAGTCACTGGCCTGGCAATGTGCCACTGCCTTGACTGTGCTTAACACCAATCATTAGATTGGTTAGATGCTAATTTATTAGGAAAGTCTGAGGGGAATGAAGGTTCTGTGAGACTGGTTCATTATGGAGTTCTGATAATCTTGTATAGATGAGTATACTGTTTTGTTTTGTTTTCTTTCTTTTTTTTCTTTTTTGGAGACAGGGTCTGACTGATGTATCTCAGGCTGGTCTTAAACATGCAATCCTCCTGCGTCAGTCTCCCTCCTGAGTACTGGGAGATGAGTATTTACTCTTGATTTATGTTAACCTTGTTGTTTCATTTGGTTTTAGGAAGAAGAACCAAAGCCTGTAGAACTGCCCGTCAAAGAAGAAGAACCTCCTGAAAAAACAGTTGATGTGTAATTATCTCTTTTTTTATAATCTAAGTACAGAGCAGACAGTTCCTTAACTGGGTTAAAGTTCACTTTGTTTTACCTTTATTCCCATTGATTTTTTTTTTTTTTTAACATTTATTTATTGTGTGTGTGTGTGTGTGTGTGTGTGGCCAGCTCAGCCCACCAGGGGGCGCAGCTGGCTGGCATGTGGTGCTGGGGGATGGAACTGCAGTCCCTGTGGCTTTGCCAAGCTTGTTCCAAGTAGGTGCTTTAGACCACTGAGCCATTTCTCTGGCCCCTCCCATTGATCTTTTAAAATCAGACATTTTCAGAAATGTCTACTTCAGGTACATGAAGCAAAGTCATTTGTCTCCAAATTTTATAGCAGGTAATTAGAACCAGGCGACTTTAAGACCAGACACAATTTAGTTTTTCCAAGCCGGGGAGATGGCTCAGTGGAATAAGCGCTTTCCTGGCAAGCGCAAGTGCCTGAGTTCAATCCCTGGTTCTGCCAAAAAAAGAAAAAAGCATAAGGGCCTGAGTTCAATCCCCAGTTCTGCACAAAAAAAAAAAAAAAAAAAAAAAATTTTTTCTAAAAAAAAAAAAAAAAAAAGCAATTTAGTTTTTCCTAGCCTTGTCCTTTTGCAGGATCTTCAGGGTAACCATAATAGATATTCTGTTAGAATCTGTATTATTCTCTATACTGTAGACCACTAAATTCTGTGAACTTTGGTATAAACAGAAAAATGTGAAACTGTACATAAGGAATTTTGTTAGAGAGGAGTGTTTTGTGGTAGAAGTTATGTCTCTTGCATAACCGTGTGCCTGTGTTCTTTAACTTTTTGATTTACAATAGAGGAAGGGAGGACAGATAGTAGAAAGTGGACCTATTTGTGTAAGCTATGCCACAAGATTGATGTAAAACATTTTTGGGGCACTCTTGCCATAAATGGCTGACCATTTTGTACTATAGTAAACTAAGAACAGTTGAGTCCCTTTTAACATTTTTGTTCCTTATAGCTATATTATTGGCATGTAATTACAAAAGGCAGTGTGTATAAAAGTCATATAGTACATAGAGGAGTGTAAGTAGAAATTGAGTGCCTTTTGTGTCTTACTTCCATCAGAGTTTTTGGAGATATTGTTGTCCAGTGGATCCTCTAGTAATATTTCACATGGAAGGGTGTGTGTGTTTTCATGCAATAATAATTTCTTCATTTTTGCTAGTACTTTGGATTTGAACCTAAGCTAAGCAAGAACTGTATCACTGACTTCATTCCTAGTCCTTTTTCTTTTCGTTACTCTCTTTTTGGAGGTAGGTCTTGCTATGTATATAGTCCACACTGGCCTTGAACTCTGGGCAATCCTCCTGCCTCAGCCTCCCAAGTGCTGGAATTACAAATTTGAATTGTCATGCATATTACCAGCCCTTTTTAGTTTTTATTTTCAAGCAGGGTTTGTTAAGTTATGTAAGCTGGTGTGAAACTTGTGGTTTTTCTGCTTCATCCTCTGAAATAGATGGACTAGGACTGTATTCTTCCTAGAAGTTAGTAATACTCTATCCTGTATGGTAGTTAATTTCACCAGTCTTCTGTTTGTAGACATTCAGATTACTCATAAAAGAAAAAACAAAAAATACAGTGCTAAGTTGGGGATATAGTGCAGCAGCACAAGTACCTGCCTGGCAAGTGCATGGTCCTGAGTTTGATTTCCAGTACCAAACCAAAGCAAACAGTGCTGTATGTCTTATCTGTTTTTATTTTTATGTAGTATGTGCATAGGGTAAATTCCTTCCATGAGATTTACTATATCATAGGAAATGCACATTTAACATTTTATTTTGTTTTATTGAGAAATATCAATGAGACATTTTCAAAGCTGATTAATAGGACATTTTCATAATTAATAACATTGTACATTGTTATCTTAGTGGTTATCCATGGTAACACATTTAACATTTTGATAGGTTTTGTCAGATACTACTTTGTGAGGCTGTTATGTTTATTATTTCTAACTTTTTATGTATTTAGTACAGGGCCTACAGCGTCTCATTACACAGATTGGACTCCTAGTGATGATCCTCCTGTTTTCAGCCTCCCAAGAGCTAGGATTACAGACCAGTGCCACCATGCCCAGTCTCAGTAATGTCTCAGTGTGCCCTGGAGACGGGGCTGGCACAACAAGCAGGAGATTGAATTCCGGTCTCTGTGTCTGGCTAAGCAGGTGCTTTAATCTGCTGAGCTAGCTGGCCGGCCCTTATTTCAAACTGTTTGTTAGAGTTTGAACTCAGTATCTCATGCATGCTAAGCATCTGCTTACCAATGAACTATATCCCTAGTTCCCCATTTTAGGATTATAATTCAGTACAGTGTCATGAGAAAACAACTTGGTGGGAAAGTTTTAAAACGAGGCTGGGGAGATAGCTCAGTAGAGTAAGTGCTTGCCTGGCAAGCGCAAGGGCCTGAGTTCAATCCCTGGGTCTGCCCCCCCCCCAATAAATAAATAAATAAATAAACCCTGCCTATCTAGGCATGCTGGTGCGTGTCTGTAACCCCAGCCCTCCAGATGCTGAGGTGGGAGGATCCTTGAGTTTGCAGTTAGCCTAGGCTATATAGTGAGATCCATCACAAAAGACCAAAACAAAATGTGTTTTGAGGACTTGGACAAGAAGAATTAATGAATATAATGATAATTTGCTTGTTTGTGTTAAAATTAATGAGGTTTGAAAATCTGTAAGCGTTAATTATGCTTAGCACATATGAAATTTGTAATTCTCTTATTCAAGTGGGTTGAATTTATTGATAAATTTTGAAACAAAATGCAATGAGTAGAGGTAATTTTGATTTTTAGAGGAATGGTTGTAGTTCTTAGACTAATATGTTCAGCAAGATTGTAGGTTCCTGTAGTTAGGAGGA